ACTTGGCAGTTGTGTGTCCAATTATAGGTCAGACATATTTCTAAAGTTTTAATGGGATTGCTTGACAGGTTCGAGTAGCTCCCATACAAGTCTTAAAGCTTATTCTTAATATTTGGAAAAATAATAAAGTCAGATCCATGAAACTTGGCAGTTGTGTGTCCGATTATAGATCATATATATTTGTGAAGTTTTAGTGGAATTGCTTGACAGATTCGGGGACTTGCCAAACAACTCCAAAAGCATATTTTAAATATTTGGAAAAATAATAAAGTCAGATTCATGATACTTGGCAGTTGTGTGTCCGATTGTAGATCAGATATATTTGTGAAGTTTTGATGGAATTGTTTGACAGGTTCAGGTACTTGCCATACAACTCCAAGAGCTAATTTTAAATATTTGGAAAAATAATAAAGTCAGATTCATGAAACTTGGCAGTCGGATGTCCAATTATAGGTCAGACATATCCGTGAAGTTTCTACAGAATGACTTCACAGGTTCGAGTAATTGCTACACAATAACGAAAGGTGCAGGGTATTATTCAATCGGTTTATACCGACTGAAACGTTTTTACTTGTTTAATATTCAAGTAAAATTAATGAAGAAAATTAGGTTTTGCAATTTAATGGATGATTGTTATAAGCACATTTTCGTATTTTTTAAACTCTGAAGCTTTCAATCTTACCAATATTTGTTATGTGTTATACAAGTGCATATTTGAATATAGTTCAAGGCGTTAGAATTATGAGAAAGCATTTGAAATATAATTGGAATTCTAATGTTCATTTTGTATGCATGAAAATTTATAGACTTATATAAGCTGAGCAAATTTATAATTAATAGATAAGTTATATGTGGTTTATTTATTCTCAGTCTCATCTGTCTCATAGAATGCAGAATATAGAAACGGATCTTTGCAAGAAATTTCTCTAAAAGAAAAATTAATACGATACGGTATTTTTTTTTTAGGCCAGTCAACTGTGGAAGTTTAAGATTTTGATGGTTATAGATGAGATTCATTTTGATTTTAACGTATTTATTGGTTACGTGAAGTCACTGACTTATGACCAAAATAGTTACTTAAAATAAAAAGACAAGAATACGTTTCTTTGAGAAAATACTTTGTTTCAAGTTCTTTTGCCGCTTTATTTTTAGTACCTTTACTTCTATACGTAAGGATATTAGCATTCTGATTTATGAGCATAGGTTTGTAATTTTTCTATTGTTATTATGCACATTGTTTTCTTAAATTAATTTTTTAGTTGCAGGAAAAGGCTAAACTTTGCCCTCTCCACTTATATTTGGAACTTTTAAAAACCTGTCTAGGCTTTTGATAGGAACATAACTGAACATATAAAATTGATTTAATTCTGATACAAATTTAAAAAGGCATTTTTCCTCTCATAATATCACAAAAACCAACGTAAATTTCGAAAGAAAGATAATTTCTTATTCAAGAAAAGTTCTTATTCAAGTTCTGTCCGTCCGAGCGTCTCTTTACAAAACTTTTACAACCTTTTTCATAGAAAGCTGCTGAAATTTTATACATGCTTCTAGAAAATTTTTTCTCACGTTCATAATATTTCAAGTTATGCCCTTTTGAAAATAGTAATATTTTCAATTTTCTGCACCTCATATTTTCGAAACTAAAAGTTATTCCAAATTTCTATAAGACCAAAAAACTAGCGATAAATCAATAAATTAAATGTTTTATTTTAACTCACCTTTTCAAACGTCGAATTGCACCACTATATTAAAGCTTATATTAATTCTTGTTATTTCACCGGAAAGTATGCAATATTTTTTATTGTATTAAGTAAATTGGAGCTACCAGAAAGAGACAAGCAATTTCAATATATTTTATCAAATACATTGGACCTACTAATATTTTCATTTGTGTGAAATTTCATATATTAGATACAGTTTTTATAATTTCTGAGATATACTCAAAATTTTGAAGTTTTATGGCAGCTACCCGAACCAGTACCTCGATCATATCCAATTTAAAAAGGGTTCTGGTATTTACTATAATAAATCATTTGTGTAAATTTGATGAACTTAGCTCAATTAGTTGTTGAGCTTTCGTTCGGACGGACGAACGGACGGACAGACAAACCTAAATCAACTCAGAATTCGGCGCTGATCAAAAACATTCCCTTGAGTTTATATCTCTGACCATTATTTCTTAGCGTTACAAACGATAAGGCAAATTTAGTAAACCCTTCGAACATACGTTTGTACGGGTATAATTACAAAAAAAAAACCTATTTGTGGAATTCTTCAATGTCCGAAATTTCTCTGTTATGCTTCTCTTTAAATTTGTATAAAATTTTCGAAGTAGCTATAGGAAGGTTTAAAATTTCCTTTAGAACATTAATCACAACAGTAATTCGTGAACATGTTTTTTGTGTTGAGGAAATTTGTCGCACATGCTATTTTTTCATATTTTTCGGTTTGGATTTATCGAACGTGCTTCATTTTAAAACTTAAGTTAAAACTGAATTAACGAAAATCCCCGAAGTATTTCCACCATTTGAAGGGAAAAATAATACTTTAGAAGTTATTGGTTTGATCAGAATTTTTTATTAAAATTTCTAGTGACATTATTACTTTTGTCTCTCACTTTCTTTACTGAAGGAATACGTTTCTTTAAGCAGAGGGTACAATTTCTTCTTGTAGAGGTACTCTTGGCTTAGTAAGCTAGAAAAATCTTTAAGTTTTTTTTTAAAAAAATGATAAAAAAATTTATAGATATTTTAAAAAATGATTTTATTTAATATTTTCTTTCTCTCTGAAATCTCCAAATTATTATTTAATATTAAATTACTATTTTTTTTTTATTACTAAAAAGAGGAATTTATTTTATCAATTTTGTTTTGTTTTCTTTGTATATTTTTTATATTGATGTGTACATATATTATTATGTATGTAAATTTATGTATATGTATAGAGCTTTATCTATTGTGGAACTTTGAAATTTAAAACAAAATATGAAAAAACAAAAATTAATATTTTTTTATAATATTTTTGTTTTCTATTTTTAAATAATTACAATTAATTTTTTCTTTTTTTTTATTCATATCTGCTTAAATATCTTAAAGATTTTAGATAAAATAAATGCAAAAATTTAAGTTATTAGGCAATGTAGAAATATAATATTTTTTTTTATATATTTATTATAATGCTTATGTAGTTATGTATGTATATCTTATTTTTAAGAAACTATAAACTAAAATGATTCAATGCATTTAAATATTAAGTAAACAGACCTACAGAATAATTGCAATAGATTTTTTATTTGTTATTAAAAAATTTTAACATAAAAAAATGATGAAATTTATAAAATATAATTGAAAATTCTTTTTTCTTAATTTAAATAGAAAGGATTTAACTAATAAGAATAACTGATAATTAGAATTGAAAAGAAGGTACCATTAAAAAAATTCATTTGCATTATTGAAAACTCGTTTCTGTTGAAAATTAGCTGACACGTATGAAAGTCAATATTTTATGTTTAAGGAAATCAGCTTCGCAAAAGGACTCAATTGAGAATTGTCAGAAATTGTCAAATTTCTCGAATATTTATTAGAGAATTTTCAGTTTAATTAAAACACTTTGGAAAAAATGGAGAACTACCTAAGTGGCAATTATTGTTAGGTTCTAGTTCATCATTCTATTGACAACTCATCTAGCATTTTTAGTTGTATGTATAGCAATTAGATTCACTGATTAATTTTTTTTAATTCAATGGTAGTATTGTACACTATTGTTAAATTTTTGAAGTAAACACAATAATTTATACTTTTGAGAATTACGCGTACTTGTAACATTTCATTTGCTTTCGTCAAACTTTTTGTCAAATCCATAAAGAAACTGGCAAAATTTTAGAATTTGATTCAATAAATTATGGTATAGGTTTTTCCGAAATATGATTAGGGTAATACTTTTTTTAATATTTAACTTAAGTTAATTGAATGGTCCGACTTGAATCAAATTTTTCTAGATTATAAACGAAGAATTTAAATATTCTCATATACCAAATTTATATCAAGTCCAGATGAAAATTTTATACTGTTTGCATACGTGAATTTTCGAATTTCCCCAACTATTGCTAACAAAAACGTTACCATTAACTTATTTTTCGGAGACTGCTTGCTTTTTCGAATTTATTTAAAACAAGTAAACAATCGGTAAATAAATTATCATTTAAAATTATGATTATTTACCATAATTTATTGAACTAATAGTCGAATTCGATGATCATCTTAACGTATTCCTTTAATTGTTTTAATCCTAAAAATATGCAATTATTATTGCTTGTAAAATAATAATTTTAGTATCTACATCAATAAGAAATAAGAAATTGTTTTTGAAGTAAAGTAGACACTTTCAATTGCTCAAGGTAAATTTGGTACAAAAATGAATCCTTGATTTGATGCACTATTTCATTAATGGACACTTTCTTTTCAATTTTAATTTTTCATTATAAACACTTATATTATTAATTTTTTTTTATGTTTTGTTCTTAATATTTTTTTTTTGCAAATTTTTTATTTTCTGATATTTTAGACTCAATTTATATTACATAAATGTTTAATATAAGGTTTATTATACCTTCTAAATTTATATATTAAACCTTTTTCATTCCATTTTTTAGCTATTTATATATATATATAATTACATGGGTGTGTAATACGATGAATGGAGAGGGTTAAAAGCGATTTCATTTTAATTGCTATTTTAACATAATTTTTTTTTTTATTTTTCGTTTTTTTTTTATATTAAATTAAAAATTTAAATATAATTTACATGAACTTATGTAAAGTAAAATTTTTATATTTATATGTACGTACATTTATAATATTATAATATGTTTGTTTTGTATATATATCTATATATACATATAATTAGTATGTATAGAAATTGTTAAAAATTTATACTAACTTAAAAATTTAATAGATTTGAACAGATTTTTAACATGTATTTTTCTTTTATTGCAAATGTATGTGTGTATTATTATATGTATTTGTTATAATGTATAAGATATTATGAATGTGTTATATGTATAAATTTTAATAATATTGCACATTAAAATAATTTTGAAAATAAATTTTCACTATTTAAAATTGGTGTTTTTTTTGCTATTAGAAATTTGTTTTGCATGTTTTGTGGCATTTTTTTAATTGTGTTAAAATTTGTTTACGTGGACGGAGCTCGTACTATTTTAAATTTTATAAAATTTTCGTTTAATATATTTTTATTTATGAATATTTTTTAGCTATTATATTATTATTATTGTTTTTTTTTTGTGGTATGCATTGTTGAGAACATCATCAGAGTGTGTGTGCGTGTGTGTTTATAGGTTAACAAAAACTTAATAATGAAAATTCTTTTTCAAATAATTTTAATGTGCCCTTTAATTGCTTATATGTGTATATGTATGTACATGTATTTTGCATAAGTATAATTAATAAATACAATGTGATTGCTTCTAATATACTTGTGTGATATGATTAAAATATAATAATAATAAATGTTATTATTTTGTTGTTTTTTTTCGCAAATGTTTTCGGTAATACTAAGTCAGGTAGACGATAATGTGGTCTATCATGTTGCAATGTCTTCAATTTCCAATCCCTATTATATTAAAATCTGACTGAATTTAATTTATGCTTTAGATTTGTCTTGCATACGAAATCATTATATAATGGAGAAAAATTTCAGGTTTTTGCTTCTTAATTGGATGTTAAATTATTTGATCTAATTCAATATATACTGTCGAATTATAACCATCGTTTGAAATTATTGTGGTTAGAATTTTCGTTCAAAAATTAAAATTTATACACAACTTGATTTGGGAGTAACGTTGATAGAGAACATTGAGTTTTGACTACTATGGAATAATACAAAATATGATGGAAATGCAATCTAAATAAGGTTTACGATAAATTAATAATATGTTCTATTTAAATATATCTCTAATTAAAGGAGTTGAACAACACTAAATAACATATTTTTCGCAGCAGGGTATTTTTCACAATATTTGAGAATTATGTTTCAAAATTAATGAAATATTTTATTTTATATATTAAAAATTAATCTAATTTGAGAACGATTTTTATGCAATATTAAGGAATTTACTTTATAACTTAAAAATTATAACTTTGAGAAATTAAACAATTCAGAAAATTTTAGAGTTTTTATACCCTTAACACAGAGTTCCTCTTAAAGATTCGTCTGTGTTAATTATTGGAAGGTTTGTGTTACAAACTTAGCATTAGCTGTCGTTTTATTTTTGTAACCTGTGTTTCTGTTGTTATAATTACAATTTTACATAGAATTCTATAGTATTTATTTTATATATTAAAATTGTAATAATTTTAATTATTTCTTTCTCTTACTTTAAAATATTCTAATTAGATAAAAATTTGTAATCATATAATAGTTTTTACTTTTACACTCTTGTTTATACCATGTACCCTCTTTTTCATACTAATAAAACTACAATCCTTAAATCTTTTTTTGAAACTTAAAATGCGCATTAATACATCAATTATGTATGTATGTGTATTTAAAAAAAGTTTTGTGACAAATTTTCAAGAACTACTTTCTTGTATATCTTTCTGACGATGGGGGAATGGGATAGCATAAAATATATTATTATAGATCGAATACTTAAATAAGTCGTTTGTGGCAAAAGTGTGATTGAACATGATTTCATAAGAGGAATGGTTACAAAAGAGTTTGATTTCGAAAATTCGATTTTATATGCATACATGTATACAGTTGATCTTCTAAAACTTGCATATCTTCTATAATTCCTAAATCTTTTTTGAGCTCAGGTCATTTTGATGAATTTAACATTCTGCCAGTTTTATTTATTTTAATAATATCTTTTAACTGAAAATCTCTTTAATTCGAACTTCTCGCCGGTTTGAATCATTTTATGATATTTAAAATATGACACAACAGTATAAATTTTTTTTCTTTTAAATAGAACATTCTTTGATATAAACTAGTTACCGCCCTTTTAGAAAGTTCGAGTATAGACGCTCCATTATATTATATTCCGCACTCAACTGACCTTTTAAGGTGAATGTGATTCTTCTCCTATTTTTGAACTTTTGAATTATTTTCAACGATCCGAACTTATTTCCCCATTATTTTCATATTGTGAACTTCTAATATAAATTTATAAATTATTCAAATTAGTATAATGTTATTAATTTTTTTTTGCATAAATATAGGCGCAAGCTAATTGTTATCTGTTTGCACATGTAATTAATTTTAGTATTTTGTTGAAGTTGAAAATACCATACACGTAGACAACACTGCGGTGAAAGCAAAATGGGCTTCTAGCTCATAAAATTGAACATTATTTCAATTTTGGAAGTTATTATTGATTACATTTCAAGAAAAATGAATGTTGTGATGGTTTTTGAAATTTTAAAATAATTTTTTACGGGAAAAGTGAACATCTTCAATGCTTGGAAATTCGATAAGACTCTGTAATGTTATGCGCCATTTTGCGAAAATAATAAATAATGATTTCACTTACAAGTAATGATTTTAAAATGATATTACATTTCGTTTCTTTTATTACATTTTCTACTATTTTTTTTTTTTACATTCTAAAAATCAAAAACTTATTCACTAATCAGTTCTCCTCGCCAAAAATTACCTACAAGTGTATGTATGTATGTTGATTCGTTTATTTTCGTTCTGTTATCATTTTGTTTTTTTTTAGGTTAGGTTAGGTAGGTCATAGGTATGCATTTGAAGTCTTTGTATAATAGTGTATTAAGGTATAATATGTACGTATATTTTAAAAATTATTAACGGGCTTTTATGGAATAATTATATAATAAGTACAACAAAATTATAATTTTAGGAAAGTCTATGTAATACTAAACTGACAGTTAAGTAATTTATAATAGTATGATATTATTTTCTAAAAAGAACTATATGTTTATGTACGTATGTTTACAGAAAAAAAAAATTAAATTTTTACCGAATTATGATTTTTGAGTATGTTTGCATGTATGTTGAATTTTGACTATTTTGCGAATTTATTTGAATTCAAATTATTTTTTATTGTTGTGTTCAGTTCAAACTTATGTTTCTTTTTCATTTATTTATTAATTTAATATTAATGTTTTCTAAATTGCTGTTTCTTTAACGATTCTGACTTTTGTTTTTTGTTTTAATTAAATATAATATATAATGGAAGTTCTATGGACGTAATTAAATACTGTCGGTTTAGAGATCAGACATTATTTTTACGAAATATTTCGTTAGGATGATGTTGGCTGAAATTTTGCCTCGATGAACATTGCTGTAAGTATAAGAAAGAAAAAGACAATTAAAAAATAATTTTTTTTTACTTATTTAAAATATTTTCTAAAGAATAAGTAAATAATAAATAAATGTGTTTTTATTCTCATAATTGGCAGTTTTACTGCGTATAGTTTTTCAAAAGATAATGGGAATGCTTTTTGGTATAGGATTAACACTGATAAGAAATTTTTCGCCATTAGACATTCAAAACAAAAAAATTGGGAAATATATTTAAGGCATTCCTACTGAGAAATAAATACTAACTATAAATCAAGTTGCGCAGCTAGGATTAGATCATATTAAAACAGCATGCTTAAATGTATTTTTTTAACTTCTAACCGCTGAACTGATAAGATGACTTGCGCAGGATTAAGAAAATTGTAAGTTTTATTAGCGGACTTCTAAATTGTGTTTTATCGCATGCCGGTGTAGTTAATAGGTTTGAAAAATAAAAGAATCTTGAGAAGCATATCCTCTATTTATTCTAAAAGTTTCCTACGAATCGAGTTTTGGCGGCTATATGGAAACCGGGGCGATAATTGACATGAAAGAGTGTCTCTGAGCCACATCCATACATAGGAGCAGTACAAGAAGCGGACTACTCTCGTTTTGATTTTTCTTTTTGAGTGTTTTTCCCGGCAGCATACTGAATCGGGTGCACACAACGTGAAATTAAAAATTGTATGGATCCGAACATAAAGTTAATAGCGTTGCAAAAATTTCAATTTTCGACAGTTTAGTTTTTGAAACTGCTTTTCCAAATTTCTATAAAAATCAAAAACTAAATATTTTATTTATTTACTTTAACTGGTATAAATCTATACTGGGTCTAACAATCACCTTGCCTCACCACTATGTGTTTTCATCCCAAAAGTATGTAATGAAAGGCCATAATATGGCGACCAAATTAAAATATAACTTGGTTTAATGTATCATTGCTTTCATCCGAATGTATCTGTGTATGTACACAACAGCAAGAGATTTTTATACCCGTACGAACGTATGTTCGAAGAGTATACTAAATTTGTCTTACCGTTTGTAACGCTAAGAAATAATGGTCTGAGATATAGACTCATGTGTATTTTTTCGATCAGCGTTGAATATTCTGAGTCGAGTTTGCATAAATTAATACTGTAATACGGCAACTTAAATTCATAGTCTGTCCCATAGTCAGCTATGGCATATTTACTCGCACATATAACAAATTCGTACGGATATTCTTCTCGTTTTTTCTATTATTTTTAAAAAGAATTTTTTTTTTAAATTTTTAAATTTTAGCTTTTAATTTACAATATTTTGTGCATTCTACCTTGTGTAATATTAAAAATACACCAATAATCATGAAATAATTCTTTTATAATTTCAGAAATTAAAATGAAATAAGGACAATTATTATCCTTCAGACCTTAATCAAAGTACTGCAATGTCAGCTTATCTGATTAAAGTTTTACTACATACACATTTTTTTAACTTAATAGTTTTTATGTTTTTTGCTTGTCATCCTCAAAGTAATTTTTCATTTAACGTAGAAAATGGAGAAAATACGGAAACTGCAAATTAAAATTTCACTTAAAAAATATTTTAGTTTTTGTAACATTTTTTTTGTTTTTTGTTCTGTGAAAAATTCATTTCCCTCTTACTCCTTCCCTTTTATATTTTAAGAATGAAATTTATGTTCGAAATACCCTTGAATTTTCCTCTTGATATCTTCAAAAAGGATTCTCTTTTTCATTTAGGGTGTTGTCGAACTTAAGAAAAGAAATCGTGTGATGGAAAATTTCTGTTTTTTACTATGTCAATACAAAATGTTTGTATGTATATGGATACATATGTATATGCACATATAAATGAGAAACAATCAGTAAATACATAGATTAGTATGCATTAGTTCTTTTAAAACTTATTTGTCATTACACTTCGTTGACATAAACATCAATGATGACAGGACAAGATGCTGTTGCTTAATTTTTTTTTATCCTTTTTTTTCTGTAAAGAACCATTTTCTTTTCATTTATTTTATAATAATGCTATATTAATCATCTCACGTGTTCTATGTCATGGAATAATAGTTTAGAGAATTTGAAAAACGATGATTTTTAGAACATAAAAAATTAAAAACACATGTTTTATTATAGAAAGTACATGTGGATATTTTAAAACAAATGATTGTGCGGGGAAACAAAAAACAAAGTAAAAACTAGAATAGGTCATCAGCCATACACAACGCTATCGAGTACGTATTATATAAGAACTGTAAAAGTATTATAAAGAGCTGCTTCAAGAATGTACAATTCTCTACTCCTTTAGCCTGGTTATTAATTTATTAGAAGGGTGGTTTTATTGGCACCACCTGGCTTACTATATTTGCTTCCGAAATTTCGATATTGTAATTAGGGTCCGTGTTTAAATATGTAACAATTAAATTGTTTTAAAAATTAAAAATTGCATTATAGACTGCATTCTAAAATTATAGAATATCGAAAATAAGTTATGATTTGTACAACAACACAAACAGGCATATTTCATTTAATTTATATAGAAGTTGAATTAATGCTAAAAATTTTAGGAATCTATATGTTTAAAAATTTAATTATTTGTCTCGTTTTAATAAAATCGGAAAATAACTAAAAAAATTTACTCCTATTTTTTTCTTTCAAAATTTATTAGTAGTAATTTTAAGTAATCTGGTGTTTCGTGCATAAAACTCGAGTAATTTAGTGTCTGATATATGAGCACTTAAGAGGAGTTAATGATAATGGAAACAATTCTAATTGTAATTTGTTTTTAATGATTAATAATTTTCTCTTAAAAAAATTTGTATATTTTCGAAAAATATTCCGAACTAAATAACTATTAATAATTAAACTGCAATGCGTATAACCCTAATTTTACACAAAATTCCGGATATCCAATTTTTAAAAAATATTTTATTTGTTCTTATTATAAAAATTTACTATATGGGATTGCCCTTAGTTTATTATGAAACATGTAATCATTTATTGAATTCATATGCATGCGTATATTAACTATTTAGGCGGACTATATGTAGTTTTCCATCCTTAGTTTTAAATGTACACCTTCTACACCATATTTTGCTCAACAAATTATACAAACGGACATATAAAATAACTATTGTACAACAAAAAATAACTATTATAATGAAAAATAAAGTGACTTTTAAAGGTATAAAAATAATATATAATTTCTTTCCTCCTTTTTTATGAAAAGAAAAAAAAATAAATCGTGACTTACCGCTTGTTTCTTTTCCCATGACTTCATAGCCGATTTGTATTTTTCAAATTCGTGACACCAGTCTGAATAGATCTTTTGATAGTCGTTACTCTTATTCGGTGGAGTGCACCTGTTTCCAATCAAATTATAATAATAATTGTTAGTAAATGTTATAATTTTTTATTTTTTTTTTTCAATTTTATCTGTACTTTTTTTTCGTCCTTTATATTATTGTTTGTTTTTTAAGAAGAAAGGACATTATATAGTTTTTTTTCTGTATTTTTGTCATTTTGTAGTTTTGTCATTAAAATGAAGAAAACAGAAAGTATAAAACAATTGAAGAAATAAAATGAAAGTCATTAGAAGAGTTTTCAAATGAACTTGGAACAATTTAAGAGGATTTTTTCCTTTTTAATTTTATTTCAAAAGTTCCCGTTTTTTTTTTTTAATTTTCTACCTCATTTTCATAATGTTTTTATAATTATTTTTTTTACTTGGAATTTTTATTGGAAAGCACAAATTGTTTTTTTGCTATCGAAATTTGACTCTAAAAAAACTTATTTTCATAATTTACCTGTGAGCATCTACTGTTATATTGTAACTGCATAATAGTGAACCACCTAAATGACAATCATAACGCCCAGCATCTGCTTCATTAACAGAAATAACAACTAAACCTCGTTCAGTTGTTTCAATATATTTTGTCGGACTATATTTAATTTCATACCTATGGGAAAACAAATTTTGAAAATAAATTTCAAATTTAAACAATAATTTCAAATTCATGTATTTACCGTCCTTTCTCCTTGGAATGATGATACCATGTCACTTGTTCATTTTTTAATACTTCTGGTATTTTAACAAAACAGCCCAAATGCACACTCTGTCCATATGTAACAACAATTTTTTTCTTTAATACACTTGTATCACAAATGTCACTTGTTTCATTTCCAACATCCTACAATTAATAAGGCATTAATGAGAAGGAATTTGAAATTCGATAGAAGGAAAAATAGAATAAAATTTTATAGAATTTTCAAAAGAATCTTTTGAAAACTAAACAAAACTTTAAGCATTATAAAATAAACTTTATAATAATTAAAATTAAAAATTAAAATTTACCTGCAATAAATCTAATTCATATGGACGGCATATACTATTGTCTTTATCCCAACCACAATATGGGTCACGTACACAACGGAAACAATTATCATAACGACGATTGCACATTGCTAAATCAATTTGTTTGACACGTTGATCAGTTGCCACATATAATGATTTACGTCTTTGACTTAATTCCATTACTTGAATTGCTTCATTCTGTGCTATTTCGAATATATCCAATAATTTTGATTTTGATTCACCATTTCGATAATATTGAACAATTTTATAAATACGTCCTTGATTTGTTCCAACATAATAAACGGTATACTCTTGATTTAGTAAATCAATTTTAATTCTAAAGACAATGAAGATAATAAATTTTTATTAACATGACTCACTTACATATTATTCTTTATAAATATTTTTGATTAAATGTTATTTTTTTGTACTCAAAGTGTTTTTGTATTTATCAATAGACATACATATATGTACATGAACCTACGAATTTATACCTTTTGTCTATTTAATTCGTTAAAAGTAGAAGGATTCCTTATAAGAAAAGAAAAAAGGGAAGCTACGAGATTCAAATCCCTTCAACTTTGTATATAAACATTGTGGTCAAGATTGTGTTTCGAAACAAAACTAAAAGAACGTAACAAGTGGAACCAATGTGAGAGAGATATTTCATTAAAAATTTAAGGAAAAATATATTAAGATTAACGCAATTTTATTAGACAACACTTGTCAAATCATTTTCAATTAACAAAATATTTTCTCTTCCCTTCGCGTCCCCTTTAAGAATTCAAGCTCAAATTTGTCTTTGTATAATTTTAATTCTAAAGTACTGTTTATGTACATGGTAAAATATAAGATTTACGGTAAAGTTTGATATCTATTTGCATGTCATACTGAAATTATGTGGCAGAGCTTAGACTTTACATCAATATTCCTTATTTGCTTTGAAAATTATAACCAAAATAAATATCAGGTGATCGCTGTTAAAAACTTCACAAAAATTTAATTTTCACCATTTTACTTTTAAAATATGGACGGCTGATGAAAATTTAGTAGTTTCTATTTGCCTTCCGATTATATATACGACTTCCACTAGACTAAGATTAAGTCTTAGATTTTTTTTATGGAATCACTGTTTAGCCTAATGATTTAGGCTTTTTCTTAGGGAAGTAATAATAAAGTTGGGTCAAACCAATGATCTGTAAAGTAGCTCTTTTATCTTCAACAAGTGAGTGTAAAAGATGCTCTTGAAAATAGTCTCCTTTTCAAATTAATTCATCACATTATTTAAATTACTTTCATTTACAAATGCATATGTTTTACCTACGATTTAGAAGAAAATTAATATCAAAAATTTGGAAAAACGAGTTTTTGGTAAGGGCAAATTTTAACGCCTTTTTTATTTTTTTAAATAAAAATGAATTTACCTTTAAAGAAAATCTTTTCTTACATTGTTGTGTTACAAATTTATGAAGTGAAAATTCCAAAAGAAAAAATCGCAACGCTCGGGAAAATAGACCTTTTTTTAGCAGTGTAGCATGTCATTATTATAAGAAAACTAGTCTTAGAACATTGTATCAGAACTGTTATGTAATTTAAATATTTATTATATAAGAAAAATAATGCAAGAGGCCGATGTAATGCAGAACTAAAAGAAGCAACAGCCTTTTGATTTTTAAATTGTATTAACTAGGAGCCGCCATAGTTACATACATAATAAAAACACCCCTTTATAATTATCTCGCACAATATTTTAAATATTTTTTAATTCATTATTAAAATGTTTTATTGTTGTAATACAATATTAAAATAAAAAAAAGTAAGGATTAATTTATCAGTTTTTATTTTATCCTTTTAATAAATATTTAACAATTAAGAATTAAATGATCGAGTAAATATTTGTTATGTTAATTTATTTTATTTTAATTTAATTACAACATTAAAAGCATAGGATGATGAACAAAAAAGTTTCTTTTATGGTAAAAGTATTTTAAATATGGATTAAAATATTAAGGATTGAAAATCTACTGAAGTGTGTTTAACATTCATGTTAATTTTAATAATAATTTTTCATTACAAACAGAAGCAGAACAGAAAAAAAAAATTAAAATATTCTTGAAAATTTTGATGAAAATATTAGCATAAAAAAAACACGAAAAAAAAATATCCTTTAATTAATTTTGTTTACCTACACACACCTCTGTTATATTTTCTATTATAATTATGATTTTCAAATATTTGAACTAGGCTAAAGAAAAAAAAAACCTGTTATACATTTTGTTTTAGTAGCACGTTGAAAAAAGATGAATCGTATCATTACACTGTGTAAACTTTGTAAGTAGATCATATTAATAGCATAAAAGTTATATTAAAAGGCATACGCTCGTATATTGCAAAAATCTGTCACGTAAAAGGACTTTATAAAACGTGACATTTGTCTTCTGATTTGTTTACAAAATGTAATGTAAATGTTCAATAATTCTAGATAAATGAAGATTTATAATTTTAACACCTGTAAAATTTGTTTGTTTTTCTTTTTTTTTTTTGTTTTAGGTAGGTGCCATAGGGAAAATTAAATGAAAATTATTTGCGTATTCAAAAATTGTTTGAAAAATAATTTTTTTTTTATTTTTAATTCCCCAATATTTTATAGAAAAACCAACCTATTTTAAAATTTATTGCGTTAGAAAATATGCAATCAATTAAAAAAAAAAATAAATTAAAAATATCCTGCCAAATGAATTGTTTTTCAACACACGTGCAATTTTTGTAATTGCAAATGAGAATAAACAACTTCGGTCTGAATTGTGCAGAAATCTAAAATTTTTCGGAATGGATGTTCCGAAAATTTTTACCATTATTTTGTTCAGTGAAAAAGATTCGTGAGGTGAAATATTTTCACAACAATCACAAAAATTTTCATTAATAACTTCAGCTGGGTCCTATTGTACCAACCACTTTTTACATTTTTTTAATCATTTTTCAATTGCACCAAGGCCTAAAAACTAATATAACCAATGAAAAAGAGTCCTTTTGTAAACAAATTAATTATTGAAAAAATGAAAAACCGTTTGGTGTAACACGGTTATGCTTTAACGTTTTACTTACTTATCAACAACCAATTTCGTAAAAACTAAATCTCTTTTATAATATACGGGATTGTTATGCTCATGGTTGACAGCCTTATCCATTAAGGGATGAGATCTAATGAAATTCAAAACATTATCTGGTAATGTTGATGTGTCATTCACACATGTACCCGGTCTAGGCTCAGGTATTTTTGAATTTAATACTGGTAACCAAGCTGAATTTGATGTTGCTTGTTCTTTAAATTTGCCTAAAAGTATACAAGAAAAATAATATATTAAAATTTTGTTTTTACGACTATGGGTGAGAATTTGTTTTATGGAACACATAAAATGCAGTCTAAAAATTTTGGTAATGTTGACTAATATTTTAATTTGTTTGAAAACAATTACTTACCCTTGAATGCGGCATGAACTTCATTTAAATCAAAACTACAAACAGCTGAACCAATTAGTCCATTTGTACTTGTTGTAAACGTTGCATAAAATTTCGTTTTGTCCGATGGTAATTGATAAACTGATTGAATTTCATTAAAGTAAAACGGAAATTCACCTGATATGCTACAGTTAAGACGTGCTTTTAAATATGTTGCCCAATTCTGGGATAAAATATTTTTGCCGCCATTATCTTTTTTACAAACTCTTGCTATACGAGAATAAACTGCTTTGCCACAATTTATATATTCAACGGCTGTTTCACGAAAGAAGAAATATACAAACTCTCCAATATCAAATGCTCCAACAAAATTTGGTTCTAAAATGAAAAAAAAGAATTAAACCTCAAAAATCTACCAATTTAAAATTTAAAAATTAAAATTTATTTTCATAATTTCAATTGACTTTTTTAAAATTAAATTTGATTGACTTTTAAAAAAAAAATTATAATTTGTTCTTTAAACTTTATAAAATTTTGAATGAAATGAGCCAACAATTCTATAAGGTCCAGCTTATAATGGAAGCAAGTTACACTTTTTTTAATCGCAAAGTGAAATCATGTATGACATTTTGCAAGTTTTCAAATCTTCAAGCACAAAAAAATTTCATTCAAGTAAAAGAAAAATTTATTGTTATGTAAAAGTTATTTATAAATTGAGATTCGGCCGTAGAGACAAAATATTATTAAATTGGGGTTAGGAACTTTGAAAACCTGAGAATTGCTTATAGTTTTTTAAAATAAAATAAATTATTCTCAAATCTTTCTGCTTTTAAAGAATTTGAATGCTACTGACGTTTTGGAAAAATAGGTTGAAAAATATTAGATAGTATTCTCATCTATATATATATATAGGGCAATGACTTGAAGGGAACAGGGTTTTCAACAGATATCACTAATCACTAAAATTATTTTTGCCGTATTTTAATATGTAAACATGTTTAGGTATAGAAAATTGTTCCATAAAACAACGATATGAATCTTATGCTCGTTCTTGTGCACATATTGAGATCAATCCGAATGAAAGTTTGGCACCAGCTGCGCTATTACTTACTAAAACATTTGTTTTACATAAGTCTTTGGTACAGTTTATTTACTTTTGATTTTGGACTTTGATTTGTCTCCCACTTACTAAATAAAAAATTTCATTTTGATTTTAAGGTTTAAGCGTAAATATTTTATTATTGAAGAACAGAATTGCAATCTAGACCTACTTCATTTTAGATTTTGCTCTCTTTCCAACAATTAAGATACATTCATGTATTTTAATGTAGTAGGTTGTTGTCTATAAACACATAAAAAATGGAAAAGAAATATTCTGAGATTACCACAATTCCCCAATGGAAACCAAAAATTATATTATTAGACAAAAGAAAAGTAAAATCTCAATAAACATTTAATTGGAAATTTTTAGAAAACCTACAATATGCACACATACATTGATTCAAAACAAAAATTCCATATCGAGTAACACTTACTATTCACTTTAGACATACATACAAAATTTTCGCATTTTCTATAACAAAATTAAATGGTTTGATGCCTTCAAGCAAGTGCCAGATGTTTCAAAATTAATTGTGGTAAAAGTATTTATTAAAAAGTACAAAACGATAGAAACAATAACAATAACAAAAAAAAACAAAAAATAGGAAAAGCATACCTACCAAAAATATTTAAGAAAAAAAACTTTTCCTTAAATTCCTTGTTACTTTTTTACATACATTTTAATGTATAAAAGAATTTAGAATTCCCAGGACGTTTAAACACATACCAAACATACCAAAAAGAAAACCGTTCCAAACTTCTCTTTTTTTATGTTATTTTTTTCATGTTTATTTTCTTCTCGCGATTTTGTATCAGACTGTCTAATATAATTTTCCAGAAACTTTTTCTTCTTTCTTTGCGTTTTCTTGTTTTCCATTTTTCCCACAAAAAAAAAAAATCTGATGTGGTCAGCACATAACCGACCGCAATGTGTATTGTCTAGTTAAGTGAAAGTGTTACAGAATATTATAAAAATGTCTGTTAAATACTTCTTTCCAATTTTTAGGACATTAGTAAGCTTATAGTTAACATACTTAGAAAAATGTAAATTTGGCTCTTAGTAGAGTTTCGCTTTGTGCTACTCGAATTCCCTGAAATGCTCGTCAGTTAGTTTCGGTAACAACCAGAACTCAAATATCAAATTTCAAGAAACTCCATCAATTCGTTCCGTAGATATGGTGAAAAATGTAAAATCGGCCCGCAAATAAGTCTTCGAGCCCTGATCTTTCCAAAAAATTTATATGTTCATAGTTTTCATACGAGGAATTCATATATTAAATTTCAATGAAATCGGTTGATTATTTCTCTTTATATACACAAAAGTGTATGTTTGGCCCGTGGTAAACGTCTAGTTGCCGATGCCTGATCTTTCCAAAAAATTTACATGTTCATTATTTTAATACAAGGAACTCAAATATTAAATTTCAATGAAATCGGTTGATTATTTCTCTTTATATACACAAAAATGTATATTTGGCCCGTAGTAAAGGTCCAGTTGCCGATGCCTGATTTGTTCCAAAAGCTAGGAATTTTCACGGACGGTCAATCAAAGCTCATATATGAAATTTCAAGTAAATCGGTTGAATATTTTCTTCAAAATGGTGAAAAATGTAAAATCGGCCCGCAAATCAGTTTTCGAGCCCTGATCTTTCCAAAAAATTTATATGTTCATAGTTTTCATACGAGGAATTCATATATTAAATTTCAATGAAATCGGTTGATTATTTCTCTTTATATACACAAAAATGTATATTTGGCCCGTAGTAAACGTCCAGTTGCTGACGCCTGATTTCTTCCAAAAGTTAGGAGGTTTCATCGCCGGTAGAGCAAAACTTATATATGAAATTTCAAGTAAATCGGTTGAATATGTTCTTCAATATGCTCAAAAATGTAAAACAGGCCTGCTGAAAAGTGCAGTTCCCGAGGCCTGATGTATACCAAAAGTTGATCGATCCGTGCCATGGTGGAAATAAACTTACATATAAAATTTCATCAAAATCGGTTCAGCCGAACTTGAGATACACGCGTGCACACACAGACCGACAGACGGACAGACCGACAGACCGACAGACCGACAGACCGACAGGTTGCTAAAAATAGTTTATTTACACTTCCCTACTATGGAGAAGTACGTTCCCACCGAAAACTCGATATGCAAAATTTGTTGCCATCACATAACCTACCTATTGTTTACACAATACGGTCGGTAAAAAGAAAAAAATTTATTCAAAAAAGACCTGAAAGAATTTTCATTATTGGAAAATGAAACCCATCCGGATTTAAAATCTCTTAAAGAAGTTATAGTTGAAATCTTATATGTTTTCTTTTTTATTTTGGTAGGTTTGGGAAAGATTTAAATAAATTTATGACAGGGACTAAGTGAAATATTTTTGTTAGTTAATTTTTGTTTATCCTTTGCGACATTGAATTTTTAAGGCAAATTTAAATTAACTTTTTAACTGTACCATATTCAATACACCGTCCAAGGACCAATAAGATCCCAATTAAATGAAAATTTCAGCATATAACTTTGTGTAGCGAAGTTTTCGTGATATTTATGAGATATTTGGCCATTCAAAGTAAAACAAAATTTTGAAAGTGGTTTTATATTAGAAAGTAAAATCAGCTTTACTTGCGTTATTTTCAAGGAAAATTGCTTCTTTATAAAATTGTATAAAATAATCATTTATTTTGCATATAGTTAATTTCCTATACCACCTCGAAAATTCAACAATGATTTTGAAAATCCTTTAAAAATCATAAGCCAGAAATTAAATGAATTATTTTATTGGTGTAAAAACATCAGGATTTTTGGTATACTCTTGGTAAGAAAGAAATCGCCACAATTATTCAAATGAAAATATTTTTATATAACAAAATTTTCTCGCAAAAACACACACAACAAATAAAAAAGAAAAGAATGAGAAAAAAACACAGTGTATAAAATTTTCATTTCTATATTTTTATCCTTATTATTCTCTCTCACGTCAGCAAGTTGCTTTTTGTACAAAATACCAATTAGTTGTACAAGATTTTAAATTTCATCAAGGATAATGGTATATATTAGGTACAAGACAAAAAAACCAAGAAAAAGAAAACAAATAACAAACAAACAAAAAAAAATATAATAATATATTTTATGTTTACTCTCGTACAGTGTTAAAATTACCATCTTTATTGCTTTTAACCCTTCTTTGTTCAAAAGTTAAAACCAAAGTAACAGTAACTGTATTGCGATGCATATTACCATTACACAATAACATATCTATCTACCTCTACCTATTTTCTAACATTAGAAATGCGACATTGAAAGTTCTTACCATATTATTTAAAACTAATTTGGTTCATGGAATGAATAAGAAAGAAAGAAACCAAGAAAGGAACAAACGAGTCCTTTTTTTTTATGTTTTGAAGGTAAAACCTCCTTTTTATTTAAAATGTGCTCATTTTCTTTACACAGCAGATATATAAAACAAAAGAAGAAGAAGAAAAACTTTGTGATTTACATAAGGTCCTTAAGGCAATTTTGTTTTTGTAATTTTAAATTGGGTGTTTTAACACAGAGAACAACCATAGAAGTGTAAAAAAGTTTTTTTTTCTCAAGTTTTTGTTTTTCTTTGTAAAAGAATAGAAAAATTTCGTGGGTCCTTTTTATTTTTTGTTCCTAAAGTTGTTGTAGTTTTATAAATTGTGATTCTGGATATAAATTTTTTTGTTGAGAATATAAAAAAATAAAAATGTGAAAAAGTAAAAAAAAAATTCAACGAGTTTTCATTTATGTACGCTTTAAAGAAGGTTTGGTTTCTTATATTTTATCCATGGCTAACATATTTTCTATCCGCTCATTTGCATTTAAAGATAAACCTAGTGGGTGTTGGTGTTTTGTTATTTTTCTTATTTTATTTTTTGGTACTCGTAAAGCAAGAAAAAAAAATATTATATTAGTTTTAGAGTAATACCATGTACGAGACCCAATATGCTATGTATGCGAATGTATGCAAAAATTGTGTATTGAAAAAATTATTTATTTTGGGTTAGGCATTTGGGTATATATTAGGAATTTTTTTTTTTAAGGATAAAAATTAATTATGTAAATCGAGTGGATACAACACATATATTTTATATTCATAATATTTATTTTAATATACGCAGGTGAATCGAAAAATATGTGACCACTAACAATTCACATATTTTTATTTATTTCTTTATAATGTTAACTTTTGTTTGAGAGAAGTCATTTTTTTCGTGGAACATTCAGTTCGACTCGGTAAGGATTGTGAAGGTACAATATTGCCTTTCTGATTTTGACACAACAGCTGTAATTTAGTGCAGCACGTAATTAGTTTATTTACTATACTATATACAAGTCTCCATATTTCCATCCTACATGACTTTTGATCTATCATGATGTTGGATTGACTTAATATATGGATGACATTTATATGCCTTCTAGACGACTAAGGCCTTATTATGTTTATAGTCGGCAAAGATGTCAGTATTTTATAAAGCTTTTTCCGTATACCAAATGATATGATGAATTAGAGTTTGTTTTGAAATCAATAGCAAATCTAAAAATCTTTTTTTTATTCTTAGGTGAGTATTCGGGTTCTTTTTATTGTTTTCTCTTAAATCTAGGAAAAAATTGTAATTTTTAGTATGGATTCATAAACTGTTTCCTAGTTAGGGATATTTTTTAACATTTTGCTTTTGTTAGTGTGTGGCGCTTAAGAACGCAAGGTAATACTAAAATTTACTGTTCGTAGAACGATCTTAACTCTATGAAAGTTTGACCAATTTCAGCAGGTCGTTCTTTATTTGAAAGTTTGACCAACTCTATGAAATCTTGACCAATTTCAGCAAGTCGTTCCTTATAATTTAATAATCAAAAAAACCAAAATCTTCTTAAAATTCTAGATTTTTCTTTTTTTTTACACAACAACTTGGAATCAAAAACCGAAGAGTGTTTCATTTGAAAATATATAATTAGTAAAATAGTAAAAGTTTATTCTATTTCACCTCTGTTAATTGTAAAATATGCAACAACTTTAATGTAAATAACAGGATATTTGAAAAAACAAAGGGAATTGCTTTCTTTAAAACGATTTTTGTTTGATACTCTCTTATTATTTTATTATTCATAAAAAGTATATGTAGAATTCAATTAAGTCAAAAGAAAACATTATAATATGAAAATTTGAATAAAATTTGTAAGTAAAATAACAAAGGTTTTCTGCGTTATTGAAATCCCTAAAAAAGATTTTCTTCCACCCATTCAAGAGTGAACAAAAACAAAATATGAACTTAAAACTACAAAGTTAACGAGATTTACATGCTATATCGAAGGATGCTTACACTTATATGAAAGTAAGGATATGATGATGTGGTTTTTCCAAATACTAATGAAAAAGTTTTTTTTTGTTATTTTTGCGTAATTTTACATTCAATATTATTTAATATTAATTATGACCTAATAGTTAAAATTCTATGGTTTTGTGAATATTGTAGAACCTATATTCTATTTTTAGAGTATATAAGTATAGAAATATTTTTGTGGCTTTATAGAGTAAAGTAAGCCTAAAAGGGTGTTTTGTAAAAAATTCGGGTACTTTTTTTTTTGTTACTTGATTGTTTTGGAAACGCGTAAAAGTGCTAATTTTATTATTATTGTTTTTAATTAATTTTCATTATTGAAAAAACAAAATATGTTGCCATCATATTGAATTTTTGTTTTTTGCTAAATTACTATTTATGACCTTTATGTTAAGAATATGGAAATTTACTTATTTGTTTCAAATTACTGTATATATTTTCGATAATCTAGAGAAATCAATGATAAGCATTAATGAGGAGCAGGCACTTTATTAACGTAGCAAATAATTGCTAGAAGAAATTATCAGCATAATATAGGAAGTTGCTAAAAACTGGTTATACTCTAGAATGAAATTTTAATTGAAAGGTGAAAATACTCTTTTCAAAAACAATCCGGCTATGTAAGACGCTAACAAAATTGCATACTTCATTCATCCACGAACATATTTTGAAAATTGCCTACATCTGGAATGAGCAATTTATGCAATCATTGAAATAAAACAAAAAATTAAGAAAAATGAAAGAGGTCTTAATGGTCTTAATGGAATTTACCATTAGAATTCGTACAGAAAAAATTTAATTTTGCATACTTCTAGGGACCGTAACTTGAGAAAGGGTGAAGGTGGGAAAAAATTTCCTTCTAACGAAACGAACTTTTTATGAATATGTAAAAGCAACTAAATTTTCAGACAGGTGAAATCTGAGGTCAAGAAGAAAAACGATATAAAAAATTTGTAAGAAACAAATTTAACTATAAGTTTTAGAAGGTAGAAGACAGGTAAAATTTCTCGTTTACAGAAATAAGTTTGAGTAAAGATCTATTTACATATGAAAATTTCAGATGTCTATCTTCAAGTATGTAGAAGTTTTGTAAAAATGTCCACGAACGGAAGACAGAGTAAAACTTAGCACTCTTTTTCAATTTTTTTTTAGAAATGTGCTAAAAACTATAACCTTATTTAATATTTTTTTCAAATTAACTCTTTACCAGATATCTTCTATCTTGGCATTGCTTACAACTACTGCTTTTAAGTTTGTGTTATAAATTTTTAGTGAAGTATAAAATGTTGCTAAAGAATTATATTAATTCCATGACACTTTTTTAGGAGGCGCATTTCAATTATTTCTAGTAACAGAAGCAGATTAACTTGTTTTGATAAATATATTTTTTTTTTGCCTCTGTCGTGTGTAACAAGAAATCTAGCTACATTATTTACTTAAGTGTAGTTGGTATTTTTATGCCTTTACGTAATTATATTAGCTGGTCGATGTACGACAATTTTATTAAAAGTATTGAATTATATTAATTCTTATAAGTTATTTATTCGCGTTATCAAATATTTAAATTGATAGCATTGTGATGCCACTCAATTAATTCATTAATGATTTAAAAATAAAAATACAAGCTATAATCATAATCCGTGTCTCATCTATAGATTTGCAGAGGTAGTCGTATAAGATAGAAATATTTAAATAAGGGAAAATAATTTTATTTTCATTTAACTTTTTTATTTTGTACTATAACGAATAAATATGGGGCTAGCATTTAGGCAATCTAAAGCAGAGATTGATACCTTATCCATAAGCTTCGGCAAGCTTCATTGAATGCATGCTGTAGTTGTTGTTATCGAAACACATAAAATATTAAAATCATTTTTTGTATACTTACTATCGAGCCATTTTGAATCGTACTTTAATGTCCTTTTAAATGCATATTCTTTCTTTTTTGCACTTATATTATATAAATCCGATCTAAAAATAACTGTATCAGCCTTTGTAAATTCAGCGTTTGTTCCAGAATACTATAAAAATAAAAATGAAAAAAAAATAAAAATTTAATAAAAATTAAAAACTTTAAAGTATTCGATGGTTTATTGGTTTTTTTTTGAGCGGGCTTTTTGTATATAATTGCAGTTATAAAATTTGTCATCATCAACAATTTTTTTTTGCTATCCAAGTACACGTAAATTTTCTTTTGTCGTCGTTTTTTTTTTAAATTGTTATTATTGTCCTTCGTCTTTCTATCAGCAAAATATAAAGGATTTGAAATTCTCTTATGCAATTTCTTACATACACACATGTACAGTTACATATTGTTATATGAGTGTTTTTATTATTGTAAACAAAATATTATATTATGTATGTACTTTGAATATAAGAACTTATACAAACACACATGTATAACATTATAGCATTATTATTTTATAAAAAAATGTAATATTATACAACGATAAAATTGCTGATGACCATGCCCAACATAATAAATAAATATTTTATACATATTGTATGCTGTCTTGTATACATTATTTTTCTGTAGAAGACAGTCAAAAACCATTAAAAAACAACAAAAAAAAAAATAATAAGAAAAAATATCAAAATTTTAACTTACCAATCCAGGTAAATCACCAGGATTTCCGTGCTCAACGTATATGGCTGTTGAATTATCAAGTGGATCATAAGGACATTTTGCAATGCCTAAGCCAATTCCAGGCACGTATTCCGACCTTGGTAAATGGGTTAAATTCGACTGTGTAAAAAGAGAAAATAAAAATATAAAGAATATTTTTTTTTTTGTTGATTTTGCATTTTTATTGTTGTTTTATTGAAGCAATTTGTTTAATTTTTTTCTTTATTTTTACAATAACATGAACTATTTTTGTATTTGTACATTTAAATCTATATATACATACAAAAGTTTTTCCATTTTGTAAAATAAATTGCATTCTATATGGAAAAGAGTTGAAAATTTATCTGTTATACAGAATAAAAGGAAAATTGACTGAATAGAATCATTATACTTGTATGAAAAAGAATTATCCTTTCTTATGCTAAAGTTGCAACAAAATTATTTTTTTCCAAGGAAATAAGTATTAAACCACGTATTCTTCTTAAATTTCATATTAAATAGTTATTAAAGATTTTATAGGCAACCTACATACATATGTACATACATTTATTTATAACAAATGTACAGTCATATAAGTAACAGTAAAAATTATATCACTTCTTACAATTATTTCTTAATTTTAAGAAATAATTTTATTTTGGTCTTATATGGGCTTTTTTTGCAATATAAGACTCATAATATGTTCTTTTTTAGCTAAATTCTTTAAATTTTATACAGTCTTTTGAAAAAAACGGACGATTATATAATTAATTTTTAAATTAAGAAGTACAACTCCGAGCTAGTGCACTTCCAAATCAAAAAAAATATATTGTGCTAACTCCTATTTTAAAAAGTTATTAAGATCCAATTTTCAATTTGCATGTTACGCATATGACATTGATTAGATCTGTTAATGTGAAACCAAACCCAAGGTTTGTAAAATAGCATATTTCCCTTAAATGATTCAATATTCTGTTGAAATAATACTGTTATTGTATTCTACATCTTATTTAAGAGGATATTAAATTTGTTGTGGAGTTTGTATCGTAAAATTCGGCGTTTCTTTAGACATGTCCGTTCACCTATTCGTATACTATAACTCAAAAATGAAAAACGCAAGCACCACCAAACTTTAAAAAAATGTTTCTTTTCCACCAAAAACGAAAAAAACGGCTGTTATAGTTATATTATTAAAAACGGCTGTTCAAAATGTAAACATTTCAAAAACTAATAAATTTACACGAAATTTGGCCGTCATGTGTCGAATTACAGCTCAGATGTATTATGTCAGAAATTGTAGAATAGTTTAACTGATTTGGATATCTACCATACAACACTGAAAGTTGCAAATTTGTAATGGTGCAGGGTAAGGATATACTCGTAATTCAGTTGCTTAAACTAGGCTATGCGACGTTATTCTACTTGTTATTATATAATTTTGCAACAAATATAAAATGATTGAGATATTATAATTTTTATAAAAGCTACTACCAATATTAACATCATAAATGAATTAGCCTCATTGATTTAGTGAAGGCATAATGATATATTGCAACATACTTGCTATTCTAAAGGTGCGATAGAGTTTATAATATCCAAAAAATCGGGAACCAGAATTTGAAATTTTGTAAACTAAGAGTGTGAATAAGTTCGGATGAGGAAGAGCTACAAAACAAATTTTCTATCAGTATATTAAAATATTTATCGATACTTACAAATTTTCTGCGTTTAGCAATCATTTCAAGACAGTCTTGCATCCACGACTCTTTATATTTTGTTTTAATATAAACAAAACAATTTGCAAACATTTGAAATGTTATTGTTTTCAATTTCAAGAAACCAATTCGTTATAGAAAACCTAAGTGGAAACATATAAAAATGTAAAAATGTTAAGTTTAAGCTTGAATGTCTAAATCAGATTAAAGATCCTTTTCGTACTTTTACTTGTCGAGATAAGTGGTGCCATAAAGTTTTTACCACACGACAGGCTGTGATAGAACAAAGAATTGATTATTTGTCGATAGCTGCTTTTTTGTACAATCTCCGACGTTGTTTATTAGTTAGAAGATTCTACAAAATGTGGAGTTTCAATAAAATATTTGGAATATTAATGCCCGAAATGTTCAAATTGTTGTTTACATGGTTTATCTACGAAATCAGTAATTAAATTCGGACTTTTTAATTTAGATATTTCTGCATAATATTTTTAACATTATGTTTACTGTATGCATGTGAAAAGGATTTATCAAATTTTGAAAAAAATTTCTTATTCTCAAAGGCGTTTTCCCCACTAAGGCCATTTGAAAAATTTCTAGGGCCAATAAAATTTTTCCTCTTGTTTCACATTGTTTGATATGGAGAATAGCAAATGGTTGAAAAAATTAAATTTAATTTTTCACAAACCAATGGTATATGAGCAAAATTTATTAGTCACTAATTTATTTTATGAAATCATAAAAATAAACCTAGTCCATCTTTTGCCAATATCTGTATGAAAAATGTTCCATGATCGTTGCTACATAAGTTATTATTTCTTGTTGCATGTTTACATCACTTTACTAATTTTTTCTTTTGTCTTCCAAATTTTTTTTTGTTTGTGATAAGAATTGAAGCACGTATATTGTGTTCTAGTAAGCTATAGATAATACAAAAGCAAACTTATAGATAAAAACCATGCAAAATCCTTGAAATACCAACTGGAGAACAATTTTCAAAAAACGTGAGATTTTCTCACATGAATTTTTTTTTCTTATGGTTTTTTACATAGGTTTTTGGTATTTTTACTTTAATAACTGCACAATAATATTTAAGTTGCTTGAATTTTTCCTTACAATTTCTTAATTTTCATGTCGCGTTTCTGTCATTAAATTTGTATTTGTCTCTATATAACTGAACGAACGTATTCTAGAAGGGTATTAAAAATTTACTTTTACATTTGTAACGCTCAAGAATAATGATTTGAAATATGAACATGTGCATCGTGAGATCACTTAGGTCATCAATCCTGTTTTTCTTTCTTGTCCGTTCCGAACCAGACCAATATACTGATTAAATAATAGCGAGACAGCGGTTCGTTCAGCTTTCATTGAAGCAACCAAAAGACTGAAGGCATAGTATTAAAGTTTTATATTATGAGGACTCAGATTCGGATGAGTACTTATAACAGTAGTCGTAAAATTAGAAATATTTCAGAAATTATTCAAGTTTGACTACTATTTATAAAAATAATTTTTAGTATGAACCTTCGAGGTAATTCAATATATTTATTGAACTTTGAGAATTATTTATTTGTACGTGTGTCACTAAGTTGAGGGGTTCAACTTTACAAATTTTTGTTTGTATTTGACTTTGTGGAAAATTATAAATATATTTTTTTTTGCAAAGAATTCCCCAGATTTTGTTTTTGTGCTTTTCGTTTATTGTCCAATAATAATGAAACTATTGAGAAGCGCTAAGAAAGTTAGTAATAAAATAAAGCTGGCCGATTATTAAAATAATCAAATCAACTTGAACCATAGTGAATCATGTTAAGAAGCATCGAAAATTCTGTAATGTCTGCCGGAATTTTTTTTATACATTTAGTCAATAGAATAGTATTTTCAATTATTCAACATAAGGAAAGCGAAAAATATTTAATAATTTTTTATTATTTAAGGTTATAATAATAAAATTATTTTATTAGTTTCGAGCACAATTGTTGTTCTAGAAAATTTTTTAATTTATTAAATATAATAAAGTTCAAAATTTTGAATTTATAAATGTTAAATGTTAGCATCTACACACTTCTATGCATATCATACCCACTGAAAATTATTTTTACAATTGTATTATAAAAAATGTATCTTTTGTATAAGAAAATGTTCTTGGTATGAAATTATTGTCAAAAAAGAAAAAAATTTTTAGGAAAACGAATTTTACATTTAAATTGAATTAAATTTTATATTTATCTAAATTTTCATTTTCCTTCATTTTCTTCTTATTTTTCATCATGCTAAATAAGAAAAAAAAATATTTTTTGAAAATTCCACAATATTTTACTTACATATATGACATAATCCTTGGGATTATGAGCGTTTGTTCCACAAATATACAGCCTGTTGCCTCCCTCCATTGGTTGAATAACGCGAATATGATTTTTACAATCGAAAACCTATAAGAAAAGCAAAAAAAAAAGTTTTCATAATGAGAAAAATGTCAAAAAATAAAATAAAAAAAAAAGTAGGATTTAAACATGAGATTACGCATAAATCTACTTTCAAAAAAAAAAAACATAAAAACAAGAAAAGAAAAAAAATCAAAAATACAAATTTTTTTCTAAGTGTATAAATTTAGTTAAATCCTTTGGAGAATTCAAAGATTTAATATTAAAATTATAAAATAATGTTATAGCTATGATAATGCTCTATGTGTATTTAAATAATGTAAAAATGGAGGTGGAATTTATTTTCTAAATTTTTCGTTTGTTGTTAAATAAATCTCTCATCGTCACTCAATATTTTTATCTTAGCCCGTACTGCTAAATTTATCAATTGACTAGGAGTTTATTCTAGCGGAATTTTGCTTTTTTTTCTTAAGTGATAAAAATAGAAACAATCATTTCTAGAAAATTTTCATCTAAATTGGACACAAAAATGTGCTTATAACGTTCACATTGTCTCCCCATCTTTTGAAATTTTCAATACCCATTTTTTTTGTCACTTGATAAACTGGAGGAGTTTAAGATTTCAGGAGTTCCTAGACAAAAAAATATTTTCTTAAGTTTTACTTGGTCCTCAAGGTGTCGAATTAATTAAATTAAATTTTTAGCCGCTTATTTTGTTGACTCTATAAGCTTTCTCAAGTCAAATAAATAAACAACACAAACTCATTTTTGTTAATGAATCACACATCAAACACAATTAAATTTTTAATTAAATGACCCAATTAACTGAATTAACCTATCAATTTGCCACAATTTTAATTTCTTTTATTTTCGTCTTCTCCTATAATTATGTAAAAATTTTAGTAAATTTGCTACTTTACAAACCATTTTTGGTTTGATTCGAGTTTATTTGATTTCTCTTTTCTTTTCAAATTTTAAAATTTTTTCCTTTAACATTCACACGATATTCCTTTAACCTCGATTTGAAATGAAGTTTACACTTGAATGAATTGAATTTTAAAAGTTTTTTTTTCTTTTTTGAATTCAAATATAGGAAAATTTTTTAAATATAATTGATATTTTAAGAATACACAATAGAATCAAAAGAATCATTGTAAAGCAGACGAAGGAATTATCTGTATATGCAAACACTAGCACACATTTTTAATATTATGGTTATAGAGTTTGTATTTGTATGATAAAATCAGACTTTCATACTATTTTTAATAGGATTTCAGACTAGATGGCACCAAATTTCTTTTACCGAATTATTTTGTGGATTAAAAAAGTATTGAGCAGAATATGATAATTTTTTAAACTTGTTAGAATATTAAAAATCTTTACTATTGCTGAAATCAAAATGATCGAGACTTAAACTAATACTTTTGAGGCAACTCTCTTGAGATTGTAAACTTATAAATTTGCATTACTATTTTTAAATTTTAATTTTTATAAATTATATTTAAAATAAAAATATTATGTTAAGATATAGCATTCATACATTTTTTTAAAACACATTTTTAAGGGGAGAAATACTCAACAGAGGAATGACTTCCAAAAATCAATCATGCGAATCAATACTTGGAATCATGTGTGACCATGTTTAATTTTATTTAATTAAATATCCTCATCCTGCGCTTCTTCTGGTCCCAAAATATCTTCTAGACAATAATCTGCTTTAAAAATATCCCAAATTTTAAATCGTTTCTATACTTATACTAGTATTCATCTTAACATTTTTTTAATTTTCTTATTGAGATCTGACATCCCGCATATGCGAGTGTATTCTTTCACGGTAAATTCCATTTCAATTTGAGTTCCTTGTGGATAGGATCCCACCAATTTAATCAAATATTCATTATCAACTTGGTAGGCCTTTAATTATAGTGTGATACAATGCTATTCAAATAAGAGAAGTTATGTAGTTCCGAAACACTTGCGCGTTTGCAAAATCATAATAAATAGGAGGAAACTTTTGTGTATTACAAGTGATAAGAAGAAATTTTTCTTTAACTTTGCAACTGCAGGTTTTTTCGTTAAAAACAAAATTTTTACATTGAAAATTAATTTTTAGTATGGGCTAAGATAGAAAGTCTTTAAGAAATAAAAATTGTGATTTTTGCAAAAATAAAATTAGTTTTTATGAACTTACTTGACTTTTTCCTTTTGATACACAGCTGACAACATCTTCTCTTGTTGGTTCTAGTAGGATATGATCTCTCTGAAATTAAAAAACAAAATTTAGTTAAATAAATTTTTATTAAATTAAAATATTTTAAATTATATTTTTTAAATAAGGAACTAAAATTTCAAATTTTAAATTACTTTAAGGGGGAAAGAACGTGAAAGAAGATAATTATTCCGTATAACTTCTCAAAATATGCCAGTTTTCAAGAATTAAACCAAACACAAGATTGTCTTTCACAAATTTAAAAAGTTTGGACGACAGTACATAGACTTAGAACAGTACTTATAACAGTTCTAGATACATCTGTGATTTGGCATTCTTACTTCTAAATAAATAATTTTTAAAGCTTTTAATTACAAAATTTACAACTATTAATTACAAATTTTCATCTAATTTTTATTTGAATTGATAAAGCAATTGTTGCCATTTACCTGTTAACTATTATCTCATGTAAATTTTATCGCGACGTTTCTGACACTATTTTCAATTCTGTTTTCTAATAGCAACCATCCATAGAAAATGGTCGATATGAAACAAGATTTCATTTCTATTTGCAAAAGATATATTCAAGAGTTAAACTCCGTAAAGATATATTAAAGATATATTCAAGAGTTAAACGTTAAACTCCGCGATCCTGGTGGCCCATAATTGCTTGGGGGTCCGTAACTTTAAATTATTATTATTTCCAGACCTAACGTACATTCCTAAATAAAAATGATTTGTTAAATGTTGTTAAGGTTGATATGATAGTTTACGAGTTCAATAAAGTCATAATATGAAGCAGTGTATTTCATTCTCCTAAAGTGTACAATTATTTAAGAAAGGTGAATGAAAACAAGTAAAAACGTTTCAGTCGGTATAAACCGATTGAATTATACCCTGCACCTTTCGTTATTGTGTAGGAATTACTCGAACCCGTGAAGTCATTCTATAGAAACTTCACGGATATGTCTGACCTATAATTGGACATCCGACTCCCAAGTTTCATGAATCTGACTTTATAATTTTTCCAAATATTTAAAATAAGCTTTTGGAGTTGTATGGCAAGTACCCGAACCTGTTAAGCAATTCCACTAAAACTTCACAAATATATCTGATCTACAATCGGACACATAACTACCAAGTTTCATGAATCTGACTTTATTATTTTTCCAAATATTTAAAATTAGCTTCTGGAGTTGTATGGCAGGTACCCGAACCTGTCAAGCAATTCTTCTAAAACTTCAGAAATATATTTAACCTATAATTGGACAAATGACTGCCAAGTTTCAGAAGCACAGAAATAACAAAATTTACTACTAGCTAAAATGCATATAGGAAAATTTCAAAAAATTTACTCCCTCGTTTTTGGCAATATGTTATTTGTTTTAATGATAAATGAAATTAATGATAGACGGAAAATATTTATTGGACACTTTGCTACAAATTATAACATGTTAAAAGAACGCAATCGAAATAAAAGAAGCATCAATTTCTAAGTAATTTCAATTTTTAATAAGAAACAATAATTTTATTTCACTTTCAAACTTCACTCATAAAATATTGTAATATTCGTCTTCTAGGAATCTGTTCTAGAAGTCCCATGTCAAATTATCACTAAACCTATATATTTTACTAAAATAATAGATAGTCAAAATCAAATAGTTTCCAAATTATAAAATTTTTGTATTTAAAATAAGGAATATTAATAGAGGAAAGGAAGGTTAGATTCCACTATCAATCTATTGATCTTGTACGGTCTCTTATTCCACAACCAGCAAAAAATTTTGCTATCAAAATTTGATAGCAAAATTCGAGACGAATTTTGTGGAAAAGCTACGAAATTTTCGAAATCTATCCTTGGATTTTGTTCGAATTTTTACATTGGCAGAAACTTTTGTTAAGTAAAAAGTTGAATTAAACCAATGGTTTGCAAGGTAGCACTTTTAACTTAAAAAAGTGAAAATTGCGTTTTAAAACAATCAAATACATTATTTAAATTACTTTTCTTTATACATTGAAAGATATTTAATAATTGCATATATTCAGGATGAGTATGAAAAAAATTTAAAAACCGTCAAAATAATGGTTCGTTTCGACAGTTAAGTGAGTTAAAATAAATAATTTTGTTTTAACGAAATTATCTATTTGTTAGTTTCTAAAAGCTGGTTAATATTTAGATTCCTACCGTGTAGCACAGTAATTCCCAAAGTGGTCTATACTATATATAGACCCCCAGGGGTGCATTACGAAAACATATGAATTTAACTAAATAAGTTTTTTATTTAACTTTCTCACATCATAGGTGTACCTTGGTGCTGTTAAAAATTTAAATCTATTAAAGAAAGTAGCATGGGGTCTATCAAAAATTGAAAAACACAACAAGAGGTCTACGAGAAGAAAAAGTTTGGGAATCTCTGGTCTAGCACAAAATATTAAAATTTGAAAAATAACTGGTTTTAGATAACGGTTAATTTTAACTGCATATATGCTATATATTTCAATTTTTTGTAATAACGCTAATAGTTTTTGAACCAAGAAAGTTTTTGGATTTATTTATTTTTGTGAATCCTTTAAAAATCAATATAATTAAAGATCGAAAATTTTATAAGCTTTCTAAACAACGGTATTTTATAACATTCTTGTTATTATGTATACAAAATGATTTGTGTATGTGCATCTAAAATAAGAAAGAAAATGTCAATTTCATTATAATGCCAAAATAATTTCTAAAGGAATTATAAAAAAATCTGGAGTATAAAAAAAAGCAATTTTCCCACATAAAAGTGCTTTATGTAAAAGCAATTATGGTTTATGTGCCGAGGTTTAAGTATATTACATTGTATATGAGTTATCTTGATTATCTTCTTAAGCCTTTAAAATACTAAAACATACCATACACACTCTTAAATATTTAAAAATTTTCGATTTTTAAGATTATGCGATATCAATGTCTTTTAAGAATTCATGGTAATGCTAAAGGCTTTTGCTGTTATGGGTATTTTATCGATGCATATGTATAGTTATTATATATATATATAGATTTACGTATAGTATGTGTATCCATTTATGTTATTGAATACCTTTGTATATATTATAGCTTCACTTTATTCAATAAATTTTGCATAATATTGTAACACTCGGAAATCATGTCAACTTAAAACTAAATAAATTTTTTTTTCTTGTTCTTATTTTTCATGTAAATATTTTTATATCGTACTTAAGAAACGATATTTTATTTTGTATATGCCTTAACTGTTCTAGATTATAAAATTAAAATATGTAGATGTAAAATGTTCATTTAAAATACAAACATAGTTGTGGAAATTTTAAGAAGATACTTTTGATTGAAAAATTATAAAATAATAAGGAAGCAAGTTGTTTCCTGATTATTCCTTATAATATTTGGGTTGTCTATTTTGTAAATACTATCCGAGTTGGTAGATAATAGTTATAAATACGGTTATATATATGAAAAGAATTTTATACATTATAAAGTGCTTCTAGGGCAATATTCGTAATGGCAAAGTACAAGACCAGGGTATACGATATTTTATTTTTTGATGACATTTAGTATTCCAGAGATATTTGCTCTTACGTGACATTTAAAAATTGTATCGTGGTTCTGATATGATTATAATTGATTTCGGATTTTACAATACCCGACTTTATAGTTGAATAGACTCCATTCAAATTATTTATTAATATATCAATTTAAATTATAAATTTGGAGTTTTGATATCCTAATTGTAATGAAAAGAGTTGAAAATATTGAAAACGGTAAGACATAATTCTTAAACAATATGCACGTTATGATCATGGCAAGTTACACCTACAGGAAATGTTTAATTTTATCTCTCTTAATAATTTCAAGTGCAATGTTGACTGATACTAGATTTAGTTCTGATACTGACTGCGGAGGCGGCAACTTTTTAAAAGCACAAACTACAGATAAGGAGAACCCATCCCTATTTTGACGATTACCCTAAATATAATTTTCATTCTTATATACGAAATTATTTAAATTTCTCGTATAGGGAGCCGAATTTTCGAATATACGCACACAAAGTTAAGATTAGATTAAAAATCTCTCTTTTACTTGGGCTAAATTTTGTGGAAGGGAATGAACAAATTTGTACGTATGAAATGAAATATATATGTATTCAAATTTTTGTCTTTTCTTGAGTAGTAGAAAATTATATTTTATATATTTTAATATTATGTTCGTATATATGTATGTAATATGTGTATACGCGTTTGTCATTTTAAAGTACTACACTATTTATGATAAGAGTAATGTAAGAATTAAATTGTGAAAATTCTTCTTGTTTCTTATTGAAAAAGTGAGAAAAAATAAGTTTTATTGCAAAGAAATTTTACCTGGTTGTCATATCTAAGTAACTAAATGTCATTTATGTCAAAAAACACTAAGTTTGAATAAAAAATAAACTTTTTGAATTTCATTCAATAGCTACAGATATTATTTTTTAATTTATTTTAGTTTTAGGTAAATATAACGAAAATAATTTTATTGTATATTTAGACACTTACGATTTTATCTTTCCTTACATTGCTGTTTTAACCATAGTTAATTGACATTATGAAAAGAAAGTGTCTAACTTTAAAACCATTACTATTTTAAAGGAGTTTTTCATTACATAATTGCTGTTATTGTTTAGAACTTATAAATTGTTTAGAACAGCAGTAATTCATTAGATATGGAAATTCTCTTGTTTCTTAAAAACTGGAATATAAAGAATTTTAACTTGATTCTTTATAAACGAGAGATCTAAACATATTATATATGTATGTACGATGGTTTTGCTTAAAGGATGTAACATTACTGTATACTATACTAAGTATTATCCAAGCGTTGACTGACCATTTATTATTGAAATCAATTATTGTTGACTACTTTTGTCATAGTAACAAAATATACAGCTTTTGGGCATCCAAAAAGAGTTTCATTAACGCCATCCAAAATTAGTTTAATTTTCATTAAGTTTTGTGTTATATTTGGCCGGATTAAGCGAAATACAATGCAGTTTTATGCT